CTTGGGCCGTGCCTGGTCTGTCTGGGTCAACCCTGGACGAGTGGGCCACAGCGTCCCCTATATAAATAAACAAATAAATAAATGTAAATAAATAAATGAATGAATGAATAAGTGAATGAACAAATGAATGAATGAATGAATTTATAAATGAATGAATGAATGCATGAATTGATCAATGAATGAATAAATGAATGGATGAATGAATGAATGAATGAATGAATGAATGAATGAATGAATGAATGAATGAATGAATGAATGAAAGAATGAATAAAAGAATAAATAAATAAATAAATAATAAACTAAAATAAATAAATAAATAAATAAATTGTAAGTTAATAAATGAATAAATGAAAAATAACCGATACTCGCTGAAATATTTTAAACATAGGAAGTAAACTTCGATGTTTACGTGTCAGACTGCCAAGAGCCTAATATTCACACCACTGACTCGCAGTTTGGTCATAAAGAAGACATTATGTTTCTCTTTTGAATTGCGTGTAAAGCTTGTACCAAAGGAGACCAACTGGGTAAAAATGAAAGATCATACCTTGAACCCTCTCCCCCCCCACCTTCCCCCCATTCGGAGCCCCCCCCCTCTCCCCCCACCGCCGGGGCAGTGCCACTGACTGTAGTGTCTTTAGGCCATTCCCAAAGGGGGGACATTTCTCGTTCATGCACAGTAGAATTGTAAATGTGCTGATTCATTATGTCACGCTCATAACTGTGCCTGATCTACAACAGGGGAACTGCAGCTTTTTCTTTCCTAATCCTTACTATTGTCATTTTCATCTACTTCTTTTGTATATTTGTCACACTCTTGTGACCTGCTATTTCTGGGGTGCCTTGATAGTCGAAGCAGACTCTGTGCCGTTGAAGCTAGAGAGGTGAGCAGAGTAAGTCTGATTCCCTGTAAAGAAGTCTCTGTTGACACCCACCCCTTGGCGCTCATATGACCTTATGCAGTTGCGAGCGCCGTAAAACCCTCTACTAAAACTAAAACTAAATTCGGAGCCTATTTGACCAGCATCTCTCATCCAGGGTTTCCACTATCTGTGTGGTTACATTTATTGAGTCGCAAAGACTACATGATGAGCGAAAGATCCTTTTATTTTATTTCACTTTTTTATCAAAAGAATGGGAGTCGAACTTTACTTTTGCCACATGTTCAAAGCCTGCAAGAACGGAATTTAAAGCAGTAGGTAACGAAAACAGACCCCCGGCCCACCCCAACCCCTTTTCTCTTCCAGTTGCCAATTCGGAGCTGGAAGTCAGAGGAGCGAGAAGAACTGAAGTTAATCAAAATGTTTTTATTAGGTATTTTGTCGAGAATTGGAACCCAAGAGGGTTTCGAAAAAAAATTACTCTACTTTGAACGATCTAGCTGACGATATGACGTACGTATTTCCCTCTCCTCTTGAATTTGTTTTTATGTTGTGCGCTCACCTTGAGATTTGACTGAAATGATGGGGTTCAACATTTACTTTTATTCGCAATCGAAAAGCCATGAGAGGTTAACCCATTCTCTACTGTGTTTGTCTCTCTCTCTCTCTCTCTCTCTCTCTCTCTCTCTCTCTCTCTCTCTCTCTTTCTCACTCTCTCTCTCCCTTTCTCTCTCCCTCCCTCCCTCTCTCCCCCTCTCTCTCTCTCTCTCTCTCTCTCTCTCTCTCTCTGTCTCTCTCTCTGTGTGCTTTTTTAAAAATACTTAATTTGATTAGATCTAGAAGTCGATGCTAAATTCTTTTTCTACCACGGATCCCTTTTTACATTTTCTTTTCTTTTTTAGGTTCATAGAATGGAAAGTTTCACACAGTTTCTACGTTCAGTTGCTTATTGCAAGATATTTAAAACATTTCTTTGGTTGAATGACACCTCTCGTAGGTCCAACTTCTACTTTCCCCATCTAAGGTTTCAGTCTGTCTGTCTGCTTTCCTTTCGGTTGCACCTAACGACCGTAAACTTGTCGATTCGCGTCTCTTTTCTCGACCTAAGGAAAGTTTCATCAAGCAACTTCGACAGCTTTGAATTGTGTACATACCGTGCAACATTCGCCAGAATTGCAAGCATGTGCCTGCACTTATTATCCGTAAGATGAACGAGAGAGAGAGAGAGAGAGAGAGAGAGAGAGAGAGAGAGAGAGAGAAAGCAACGCGTTGATGTTCACCGAATTTCAGAATCCCAGTTCTCGGCTTGAACTTCTATCTGTTCTCTCCTACCGCGGTGTCTTCGTTATCTCGAAGGCAGAGAAAGGCTCACTCCAGGTAGCGTTCAACCCAGAAAGGATTCTGACATAAACAGACTGATAAAAACGCCCCGTGTGAAAACAACCCAAGTCATACACTTTTCCAAAGTTTGAGAAATGAGCGGTGCCTGGTGAAGAAAGGCAAAGAATAAAGAGTTTTGCGATCTGACTTTTGTGCACGAATTACAATTATTGTTGGCTCAATGCACTGAGCATTGGCTCTCAACAGCACTTTACGAGAGAACTATTGTTCTTTTTCAATGTAAACACCGTTGACGCTGATAGCATGAGATATTTAACCCTATCCGTACGTCGTGTTTTACTATCGTATCCATACGACGAGGGGAACTCCGTGCCACCACTTTCCAAAAACGAAATTTACTCATTAAACCTATCCGTACGCTTTGCCTAGCAGTCTGTCAAAACGATTTAAAAAAAAAAAAGAAATACTGAAAGTTTCAAAAAGATCTTCGCACAAAAAGTATTCTAAAATGTGAAGAATACAACCCCGGGGGTACAAAATGACCCCAGGGAGTACGACTAGGGTTAAGTATTGTTTTTCTGAGTGCTCTTGGGTCTGCTATTTTAATGGAGGTGTTGTTTGTTTGGGTTTTTTTTTCAACAACGACACCACAAAGATCAGTTAGGAGGCGTGCGTCCAACTATGCCTGTCAAGGCCAACCCGGACTGAAAGGGATAGGCCAACAGCACTTCAGCAGAAAGCCCGAGATGCTCGATAAAAATGCTTTCCGCTCGGGAATCGAACTCGGGTGTCCCGCGGGTGACAGTGAAGTGGTTTCTTACCACTACACCACAGATGCCAGTCCAGGGTCTGTTGGGACAATAACTTAATAACTATAAAGAGCAAAGAGCATGATGAAGAGAACTGATATTATAATATATGTGCTATATAATGCAACTATCATAGTTGTTATTTATTACCATCATATTTTTTAACTGAATATTTGGAGTGATTTAAAAAAAAATCAGAACACAACGTTTTATGTTACTGTTGTACGTCGTACTGTATTGTAAAGCACTCAGAGCCTGTGCACTTTAATCGAGGTTGAGCACTATATAAATGTCATGTATTATTATTATTATTATTATTATTATTATTAT